ATATATATATATTGCTTAATTTACTCAACTTGGTTTAGTGGAACCAGTTTGGTTCAGTAAATTCAACAGTTTATTTCTTAAAGAGTGTAAAAATATTCTTAGTTTTCCGATTATTATAATAATTTGTGAATAACAAGTTGTGAGTAGCATTTAGCATGTTTTTTGACCATTAGCTATGATCACTCACATTTCATCTCAATATTTATTTAAACAGCAAAATTGAAGCCATTTGGAATTAGCTGTGGCGGCCATCTTGAATTTTCATTTGTATGTCCCCCCTTAAAAACCCCCCCCCCCCAGTCATGAGTGTCTCACTGAAGGTGTCCTCTGTGGGCCATGCGGTGGACGGGCATGTGTCCGGTGTGGTTGGACACATTGGCATCGGCTCCATGTTCCAGCAGCAGAGCCACGACGGCCGGATCTCCTGAGACGGCGGCTTCATAAAGGACGGAGGCCTCGTCGTGGGCCTGAGAGAGGACGTCTGCTCCTGCAGGAGCAACAACACGCCGCCTGAGTGCAGGTAGAAGATTTATTTGATTTTAGATCCTGCCTGGAGACTCTCATCCACCTTTCCTCAGCAGAATGTCCACCACCTCCAAGTGCCCCCCCTGAGCAGCCAGGGCCAGAGGCGTCAGCCCGTAYTTGCTGCGGGGGTCGGGGTGCGCGCCGGCCCCCAGCAGCAGGGTCACCAGGCTGGTTTTACCCAGCTTGGAGGCCTCGTGGAGGGGCCGGCGGCCGTGGCAGCCCACCTGGTTCACGCTGGATCCACACAGGAGCAGCAGCCTCACCAGGTCCGCGTGYTCCGAACGGATCGCTGCAGAGACAGAACCGCCCTGACAATCTGAGGCTGCTTCATGGGACAAACCCCAAACCGTGGTCCAGTACAAACCTACAAACAGAGGAGAGTCCTGGTCCTGGTCCTGGCAGTCCGGCTCAGCTCCACGGTCCAGGAGGAACGAGACGTTCTCCATCAGACCTCGTTCCACGGCCAGGAAGAGGGGCGTCTGACCGCGGASGGTCCGCCTCTCCAAAGAGTCTGGGCCTGAAGCTGGAGGACAGGGACTCTTCATCACTGCTCATCTTCATCAGCAGGATGAAAAGATCAGACGCAGTTAGAAACCTTCATATATCAGCTTCAGGACCGTCTGGTTGCTCTGAGCTGCAGCCTCATGCAGAGGAGTCCAGCCTCGGCTGTCCGCCTGCAGCAGCTGCTCTTTGTGTCCAACACTCAGATCCTTCAGGAGCTTCTCGTTTCCTGCAGAGAAGATCCACATGTTGAGCTTRATTCTGCAAGAAAAACTAAAAAAATCAGATGATTCACCTTGTTTTATCGCAGAGAAGATCCTGGTGCTGCCTGAAGGCTCCGAACTCCGAAGACTGAGAGGAAACAAGAGCTGTCAAATAAACAAAAACTCCACAAATCTGTGGTTTTAATCAACAAAACTCCACAGATTAAACTGTTTTCAACATCTTTCATAACAATACAGTTGTTTGAAATCTGTAAATAATGCTAGTGTGAATGCTTATTGCTGAAAACTTCAGCTGAAAGTTGCTGAAATGGAGCAGAAAATGTTTTATAGCAAAACTGTTAAAGTGAGTTCAATTTGAAAAGTTGAAAGAAGCACAAAAAGGCAGAAACTAGCAGAAGAATAGCTAAAAGGAGCAAAACAATAGCTGAAATACCAGACAAAGCTAAAATTAGCATAAAAACAAGCTAAAGGTAGCAGACTCAAGCACTCAGATGGTGAAAAAAAGAAAAGTACAAATAAGTGGCAACTTGTTGTAAAATAGCTAGAAAACCTAAAATTAACACAAGGAAGCATAAGGAGCACATGTTTGCTGAACTCAGCAGAAAGAAGCTGAAAAAGCCACCAAGATGTGAATTTAACCTAAAAAAGCTAACTTTAGCTAATAACAGCTGAATATTAGCAAACAGAGCTGCAAATAGCTATCAGACAGCAAATTTATGAAGCAGAAATAGCTCAAATTACCAGAAAAAAGCAGAAAGAAGCAAAATTATAGCTAAAATAACAGAAAAGGGTTAAAATTAGCAACAAAGTAGCTAAAATTGGCACAGGGAAGGATTTTAAGGATGTTGAAAATGGCAAAAATAAATAAATAAATAAATAAATAAATAAATAAATAAATAAATAAATAAAGTGTCCGAAAAAGTGAAATAGCTGGAAAACCAGAAGTTGTGGTAGGATCGTCCTAACTGGATGTTTTGCTTTATGAAATGTTGAAATAGCACAAAAACAGTGGAACAATAAGGTGCTGAAAAATGTCCAGAATAAATAATAATAAAGAGAAACTTGAAAACAACAGTTTGAACACTGTTCATTGTTGGTCTGACCTGGGTTTGTCTGGTCTGCTGGTGGGCTCTCTGTGGGGTCCGCTCTGTTTGCTGCTCTCCAACAGACTCTGCTCAATCATGAATTGAGTGTCTGCATCTTCATCGTCCTCATCCTCCAGCCCAATGAAACTCATCGCCCACCAAAAACTGTCCTGTTGGGAAGAGGGAAAACTCAGAGCAGGTGTGGTAAACCTGCTCTGTCTGTTAAAACAGCTGATATAAAGTTAAAATTATTTGACAAACCCTCTTAAATCTTGTTTTGGTTTAAAACATCTTCCATCTGGGTGTAAAACCACATCTTCGTTGTTTATATTTAGTCTATAATGTAACGTAGCAAAAACACAGATTTAAAAATGTCGAAAAAGATGTAACTTCTTTCCAGCCTGAGTTTTACACCTTATTTACAGCAAGTTAAAACTATATTAAAGTAAACTTTGTCAAGGGGGCCTGCAATCCAGGATAGTCACAATTCTGGAATCAAGCCCAAGGAGTTTTCACCACTGCAAAAGCAAGGGATGGACAGGAAAAGAAGACACCAGAAGAAAAACGAGGATAAAGAGGCCAAGAGGTTGAGGAGACAGGAGGAGAAAATAWTGAATCAAAATAATCAATTTTAATGCTTAGAAAAATGTATGTAACCTGATCAATGATTATTTTTAACTGTGATTCTTTTTAAATAATGTACTGTGATGCATAATGATTTGGAATTTGTGATTTTTATGTTTTAAATGGAAGATGGTGAATAGAGCAGATAGGAAGTTAGAGAAATGTAAGTGAACTGTGTAAAGTCAGTCTGTAAGAGTGAGTGGCAGTTATTGCAAAACAGTGTGAAACTCATGTAAGCTGAGCGACGCTTCCTCTTTCTAACTGTCAGGGAGCGCACACTTCCCCTTTCTGACGACCAGAGAGCACCCACTTCCTCTTTCRTTCAGTCATGGTGCCTCTCTTCTTTAATTCCACAAATAGGAGCATGAACTTGATGCAGCCAAGGCCTCTCTTAACATGTTGACAACGAGATGTGGACTTTGATACCACAGAGAGTAAAAAAAAAAGAAAAAAAGAAGGTACCCAAGGGCCCCAAAAAGAGGAAGGTCAGCAGAGTTGCTTCATTTTGGGAAGTACCGGGGAAAAACACAGGACACATGATCACACCAGAAGGGGAGGAGGAAAGGCCACAGAGGAAGGATAAAAGGCCAAGCTGACCCACAGCAAAGGGTCTTCGTGTCAACYGCTGGAGGAAGGACAGCGAGAAGCAACAGGACCAGGCTCTAACGATCCCCCTCTCATCTGGGCAGAAGCTGACAAACGCTCCTTCGCCGAGTCAAAAGGACAGAAGACCAAAATTGGACCAAGCCCATCTTTGAGAGAGATCTTTTTCAGACAACATTCGGACCTCATGGGGGTAATAACTGACTGTTCTGAACTTGTCCTGCCTTCTCTGAAATTAACAGAATATGCCATTATTCTTAATCAGGAAGATAGTTCAGCTATTTAGAGTTTTTATTTTCCTCACCATCAATTATTAAATCAATCAATTACCAATCAATATATTAATCTGTATAAATGTGGCAATTCTTGCAAATTCTATTAAACTGCTTATAAGCCTCAACAAGACAAATTAATTGACTGGACATTGATACTTCTGGTTGTCCTTTAATGTTTTTCTCTGATTACAGGAGGGTCCTATTATGGTAATGCAACGAGGTAATTGTATGTTATAAAAATGGTTAGTTACTTTAAAGCAAGTAATAATAAAAAGGAGGTCAGATTATAATATAAAGTTCCTTTTTACTGGTTTATTAGCCACAGAGGG